CATTATGTGAAAATGGAGGATGACTACATCATTACACAACTGCCAAATTATAACATTATATAACAACTACACCACAGAGAATCACGGTCCAGCTACATCGCCACAATACCTTACTTATCACAGCTAGTGTTACTCTCATGTCACAGCTTTGAGTCCGTGTGTTGTTAATGCACAAAATGGTCAGACAGATTTTTTACTACTGTTGTAAATGCAGAATGTTTGATAATGACAGTCGTTAAGTGAGGAGTACGTGTATTCTTTTAGTTGCACTACTTCACAATTTAAAATTTCAATGGCTCAAGGTTCCCAGAGAAATTAATCTAAAATATTTAATTCATTTGACATTTGACTTAAGAATAAGCATCAATTCCCAACAAGCTTCATATAGGATTATCAACTTCATCATGATGTAAAAAAAAAAAAGGTTCTTACCTCATATTCCATACAAGGATCTGGGGAATCATCAGTACAATGAATGAATCTTTGGGGGGAAAAAAAGCAATAGAATCTTTTTATATACTGATAACAGTTTATGTACACATATCACTTATATTTTAATACAAGTATAAGGTTTTACTCAAATGCCTCCAGAAACAGGAGACTAATTTAAATTCCATAAACATTCTTAAATTAAGCACTATGCTATGTAAAGCATTTTCTAGGCACTCTAAAATACTTTCTCATTTAATCCTAATATATATATATATATGAGGTTGATATTATAATAATCATTTATTGGTCAAAAGGCAAGGAAATTAAAATTCAAAGAAATCCAAATTTGGACACAAAGTCAAGAAGACTGGAAGTCAAACTAACTTCAGATTCTAAATTAAGGCAACATAGCACTGTCATCTGACACATATTCATTGTGCCCATCCTTGTGGCTGAACCAGAAGTCTACTTCTCTGTATCATTAATTCTGTCATCTAAAGCCACCCAAAATTAACATAATCCCTTTTCCACATGCCATTTAAGAGAATGTATGCATGACTGATTCAATCCTCTATTAAATATATTTCATTCCCCTCCCAAAATATTCAATTTAATAAACCATTTTATCCACATAATTTTTAAATACCTATTGTATGTGCTCTGGTAGCGTAGTGGTTACGAATCAGGCTGTGAACCTTAAGGTCAGCAGTTCAAAACTACCAGCCACTCCACAGGAGAAATATGAGGCTTTCCGCTCCCGTAAAGATTTACAGCCTCAGAAACCCTGTACAGGGTCGCTATGGGTCGGAACCGACTCGGCGGCACTTATCAACAACATTGTATGCCAAGTGCTATACTCGGCAATGGGCATGCAAAAATGACTAAGACTTCCTTGTTTGTTACGAGGTTAGTTTGGTAACCAAAGGAGAGGAATAATTTTACAAGAGAGCCTGAACAATTAAGCACAAGTGCACACACAGAAACACACATGTGCACAGGGAGGGGCAGTCAAGGCTTCATGATGGGAAGGGAAGGGGTCCACATTTAAGGCAAAGGCAAACATGTGCTAAGGCAGGAAGGGAGGTCAGAAATGTTACACTGTATTCAAAGAACTACACAATCAGTATTGACCAAGCACAGAGTGAAAGAGGAAAATTACCAAAAATATGAGGTTGGATGGAAATTATAGGCAAGAAAGTGTATCCAAATTATGAAGTGTCTTGTTTGCCTTGCTAGGGAAATTGCACTTATTATATAAGCAATGGGTTAATTCCCTCGACTGCAAAGTTGTTTGAACCACAAGGTCGGTGGTTCAAGCTCACCAATTACTCCTCAGAAACCCTATACAAGGTTGCTATGAGTCAGAACCAACTTGACAGCACTTAATATCAACAATAATACAAACAATAAGAATTTTAAAAGAGTAAGTTTTAAAAGGCTCCTAAATATGTGAGACTATTACTATGGCCACGGTAATAGCCTTGGGAGGAGGGGTGGCAACTTGGGGAACAGTGAGGACAGTCAGAAGCCTGTTAAAATTGACTTAGTGAGGGATGAGGATCTAAGTAAGGCCATGGGAATGGACAAGGTAAAGAGAAGTATTATAGGAAAATACTTAGGAAGCAAAGTCAGTTATCACTAACTTGGTGACTGAACATGGGGGACAGGGAGAGAGGGGCCATGATGACTCTGGGGTCTGGCCATGGTGTGCCAATCACTAAGACAGAGAATATAGAAGGAAAAGCAGGCAGTAGAGGCTGATGTGGGGAAAATACAGGGTGTAACTATATTCTAGTTATAACTATGTAACTAGAATTGGAGATATTCATGGGATAACCACACAGTAATGTCTAGTTGGCAACTGGAAATAAGGGCCTAAAGCTCAAATGGGAGGGGAAGTTGGACATAATTAGTTAGATGGAATAATCATATAGGTATAATAATCAAAATCAAGGAAGTAGAAAAAATCACCATAGACAGATGACAGAATCCTAGGAAAAGCCAACAATGTAAGGGTAAACCAAAGAAAAGAAGGTAGAGAAGACTACTAAAGTACTACAGAGAGATGAGGAATAAGAAAGTGGTGTCCTAGAGCTGAAGTGTCTAGCTAATAAGAAGTGAGGGGAGACGCACAGGGATGCCCAAGCTTGTAGACAGTACTCATTCAACCTAGCCTCCATGGCTTGATGTCAGAACTTGACTA